GCCACCGGCCGACTTTACTGCAACATTTGCGCGGAAATTGGCAGACTTATTTTTAATATGCGTGGATGGAAATTTTTCTTTATGAGATAACTCTAAATCAATTTACACATAATAATTTCAACCTAAACAGAGTTCCAGAGTTTTCACCAACATTTCGGGAGTGCTGAGATTCCAGCTCCCCACTTGTCAAAGGCCATTTAGGCTTCGTTTTAAGCCCGAAAAATTGGCATCACACAGTCGGCCGGCGACACTTAATGTAGACTAGAACATTAAGCCTGGGCCTGTACAACTTCAGCAAAGTATCTTATACCTACATAACGATCTATAGTTTCATTTTCTTGTTCAATGGTTGTTTTTATTGAGAATTATTAAAAAAAAACCAAAAAACTGGTACGCCTTCCAACTTCGAAACTTCAGTATTAATCGCCAGAGAACATCGTCATACTTCTAGTGTTTACAAAGGTTTTGCGGAGTAACATATCCCAAACATTGCAAGTTGCCCCGAATGATGTAATATCCCAGCATTCTGATTGGTTTACAACTTGCACAACATACCGCCAGCCGGTGTAGTCGGGCGCACACGTGGTTTGGGATGTTACTCTGCGAAATATAGTTTTGTAATTGGAAGGCCTACTACCAGTTAGTTTGACGTTGTTTTGTTGTTACGTTTTTTGTTGTTGTCAAAGCAAGAAACATTCCTTGTAGAATTATATATTTTTTATATATCTTATAGATTAAATTAACCAATTAATTCAATTGTTACACTTTATTAATTCCACGTTTAAAATTTAATCTTTAAATATTCATTTATATACAATTCAATTTTTATATTATTTCAAAACACTATTAAACAATCATTTTGCTTACTTTCTGCTGATACTTTGTTAAGAACGAAATAAATTGTTTGATAGAGGCCCATTACTTGTTGCCTATGAAATAACTCTGCTTACCGTCTGCATTCAGTGAGAAACCTAATTCCAGGCTCCTCCTGGTAGACACAGACACCGAGGTTGCCAGACACAAAGTCATTTGACTCTTTGTACGCTGCCGATACGAACAAAAGTAGGTCAGAAGCCGACTGGCTCGTTCAGTAAGTAAATGGTAGTAAAGGAGTTGCTTTCTATATTATTTCATTTAATTAGGTTTCAAAATTTGCTGTGAGACCTATTTGTTTGTTTGTTTTTTTGTAAATTTCAAGATATTGCTCATTGAGATGCATGTTGTTAAACTATAGCTGCTCCGTGAAGTCTGGTTGAGGTTATCATCAAAGAGTATTTTATACCCTTTGTTATCATCAGCCATGTGATTGAAGAAGCGTAATCTTATTTCATAATGTATGAGGTTTAGGTAATTCGTTTGGTTTTCAATAAAAGATGTCTGCCTTAATACCGGCAGTACTTTGAATATAATCATCCAGATGATGCCTAATTGTATTTATTTACAATCTATTTAGAGTTAAATTTTGATTATTGCTTGATCTGGGCCATTTACATCGTATGAGTCAATAGTTTTGCATTATGTGGCCGTTTGCTGTTTTATAGGTTTTTCCCATTTGCCTTTTAAAATTTATTTATATTTCATTAAAGAATCTCCTTTGAGATCCAGCAGGCCGCCATTGATGCACGGTAGAGATTGCATCTTTAGATCTCTGATCTTGTTCACAAATTCGCGGATTAGTGCTGTCTCGTAAGAATTTCGTAGGACGCGTTAAGGGTGAAAAAATATTCTCTGTATCTACTGGAACTGAGCCACATAGCTTGTATTCCACTATTTGCATTCACACCTGGGCTGTGTATATATATTGCCTTGGTTTGGCTCTGTAATCATTAGTGGTCGTGGGACTGGTTTAGGGCCCTGCAGATATTGGGATTCCTTCCAGTGGATACTTAGGGCCCGTTCGAGCGAAAAACGCAAACCGTATTCCGGTGAATTCACTGGTTAATCATGCCGAGCACACAGCGGGTGGTCCACCGTTCGAGCAAATTTTAGCTCATGTCGAATACCGTGTAACGAAACTATTCCGGAAGTAATTTTGTAAGGTCATTCAGAAACACCAATCCCACCAACTTATTCTTTGTTTCCTTCTGCTTGTCTTTGTTTACTTCTGCTTGTTTAAACGATACGCGGGAACGATTTGTATTGAAGTTTAATTCTCTGAATACTGTACTGTAATGGTAATTTTACAAATTGAACGTGTAGCTACGCTACTAGCCACCATTATGGCTACAATGATGCGATGTTATGTGGATGGATTTACTGTCCAATCCAAATTTGATTTCACCGTGAACATGAGGAGGCGAAGAAGAGCGCGACGACAGCGGGTACTTGCTGTGGACGAACCATTTGACAAAGCAATTAAGGTTGATTTATCATCTTCTCCGGCTCCAAGGCCATCTCATACATGGAATTCTACCCAGCAATTTGGTGGTCAAAATTGTCGCGGATAATCCAGATGGTAAGGTAATTAGTCGCATGTCCGAGTGGTTTTAGAAAGTGTGTACCAGTGAATTAACTGGAAAATCGCACGGATATTTTTTCGCTCGAACGGGCCCTTAGTTATTAATGCCACACAAATTTTCCCTTTATATAACCTATACTGTATATATGTCTGATAGCGTCAAAATACAGTCTGCCGCCCTCTCTGTGTTCTATTTTTTTACATCTTTTAAGAATGAGAGATAAGAATGCTCTAAAAATTCATTCTTTTTGACCATGCTGACGTGATCAAAATGAAAAATAAAGGAATTTAGCTATAACATACTCACCGGTGGGAGACAATC